GATGTAAGCCGCAGTATGTCCTGCAATGTCTGAAGCATCACAGCAGACTCTTTGTAACCTTTAAAGTGCCACATCTGTCCCTCTATTGGTCCTCTGATCTCATATTTCAATGTCTGCTTTTAAGAAAAGACAAACATAGAGTCATTGTGGCTACAAACAAACAAATATGATGATCGCTCATATTTCCAGCCAGCACCTTCTTTCCTGCAGCCTTTAGGCTATGCTGTGTAGGGATAACCTAGAGCCAACACATTTAATCTGATTGTATTAGTGTCCCGTTTTGGCATGGATGCATGCAGATGTCGAACCTCAGCTGAGGTACAACAGCTTTTAAGACGAAAATTTGCCAGTTTTATGGCTGTAAGCAGCTTTTTTTTTACTCCTCCAGTAACAGCTTTACGGTTATCACACACTGCTTCTGTGATGTGCTCATACTTGATGATGAGATGTTTCACATGCTATTGTAAAGCACAGGCATTTCCAAGAAGCATTAGTATGTATTTTGCACGTTTACATAAGAAAATGTCTTTTTACTCAACAGTCGAGCAGCCATAGTGACGTGAAATGCTTTTCGTCTCATCACTTTGGATATTCAGAGTGCACAAAACAGACTAACTGTATAAAGAAAAATCACTAAAAAGTTGCTTGTTTTCAATCTTAAATGTAATTTTACATTTGAGAGAATCAGTGTCTTTGCACCGTGTCTGCAAAGGAATTGCCAGAATGCTTCTGTTCGTACAAATACGCAGCATTTAATGCCAAAAAATAAAACATTCTGAGACACTTGAAGTGTTACAAGATAAATGCCTAGTCTAAAATAAATCTAGATTTATATGTGAAGACTGCACCCTTGTTTTCATGCTGTGCTGTGTTGACATCTAGTGGCCAATTACTCAAACTGAATATATATATATATATATATATATCAATTTTTATTTTTTTTGCTTTAAGTAAAAGAAACAACGTACACACTGGTAAAAGTATGGACAAAGACATTTATTTACTGAACATCAATAGTTTTGAAGCTGCATTCAAGGAATTTAACCCAGAAAATGAGAAAAGACCTCTGAACTACATGCACAGAACAAATACTGTCCATATAGACTAATAGAAAACACTATAGTAAATTAACATTTACAAAAACAAGACTTTTTCTTCTACACCTTTCTTGCATTGTGCAAAATCAGGAAATGTAGTCTAACCTTTGCGCTGAATGTTTTATGAGGCATCATGACGTTTAGCATTTTCTAAATATAAATAAGAAAGTACAACGATTGTAAAGAGGATTGAGACCAATTAGTGTTGCAGACTGTCATTTATTTTGACTGAAAATAAGTTCTACCAGCCCGGTTTTCTGAAAATAACCTTCATCCACACGGACACCAGTTCACATACGCAGAGCTGCCCGGGGGAGCTCTGGGAGAATTTCGTCTCAGGACTTGGTGTCTCTTTGATCTCGGCTTCGGAGCTGACGGCGCTTGGAGGGAGAGCGTCTGCAGCTCGGCGCCGCTGTCACATCGCCACAGCAAACACACTAACCACACAGTACATAGTGCGGTTCTCCCACCGGACCGTGCAACTTCCTGAAAATGCAAAAAGGAACAAAACAAAAAACAGCTGCTTAGTGGAATATATCATATTTTAATTACAAAAATGTTGCCTTTAAACAGAATCAATATCTTAGATGGCTGCAGAAATTTGCAACATTAACCAAGCAGTCAAACTGCAATCAATGCAAGAGGTTTGTGAAACAATTTGTTTCTTTGATGTAGTTTGTTTCAAATTACACAATTAGAGGTGAAATCAAAGAAAAGAGAGGAAAGAACAGCTTCTTTGAACATGGCTGGTTTACTTCCATCCTTTAGAACTTGTTACTGATCATGAATCTTTCAAATTTAGTGTTCTTTCTTGATTTTCATGGCACACCTTTTTACTGAAATTACTGTTAGCTTGATGCTTTGGAATGAGTTTCCAAAGCATTGCTTTTAGTCTATGATTTTAAAAATATTCAAATAAACCATCAGCAGATTGTTTAAGCACTTAGTGCCACACAACCCAGCTCTACTGCCTCCTACCGTCTGTGGTGGTGTCCCAGTAGCAGGAATTGGCTGTGTGGAGACCTGCACCGCTCTTCTGCATGATGGTACAATTCACTGAATCACAACAAACAGTGTTACAGACATGCACATTGCACCTTATGTAATTAACCAAGTTCGAGCTTCCTACATCATCACATGTGAATAATGCAAACGGTGGCTCACCAATGTATTTGAAGGGGCGACCCTGCTTCACCAGGTGAGTCAGCGAATGCTCAACGATGTTGGCGGTCCACTGGTTCACTTTGTTGTGGTTATAGTCTGTTCCTCCTATCACTCCTTCGATACACTGAGGCAAAGCAACAACCAGGGGACTGCATTCAAATGAAGTTTGCTACTCTTAATTTTAAGGTGTAAAATCTTACCTCCTTCACCAAGACACTTGTCTCGTCAGTGTTGAAGTTGCCCTGCAGGATTGTTTTGAAAGAAAACATGAAGTTGGTTTTACAGAAGAGCAAACCACTTTTTTTTATTTAGTAGTATAGGTTGAATGTCATATCAAAAGTCGAAACACAGCACTGTTAACACAGTCAATTCAGTTTATATGGAATTAATTTTATCTTTGCTTCATTAACAGACTTTGTAGAAGAGAAAGAGGAGACTCGTGACAACCTTTAAATAACAACCTGACCCAGGGAAATAATCCACCAGGTTTATAAACAGCTTTACATGTTAAAATGAGCTAAATTGAAACAAAAATGAATAAACACATTTTCAGATTCATTCACTGTTATGATTTTGACACAACACAAGGGTTAAGTTGGCTTTTAAATTAGTAACCTTTTGGTCAACTGAGTTTAAAAATCCCATGTTAGATCTGAATCTTATCCTGCAGATTAGGACATTATTTAAGGCGACACTTTAATCCATAACTTTATTTAGTTTTTTTTAAATCAGATCAACCTTAAAACCCTGATTTGACGCCGTTAAGAGGCCAAATAGGCACATAAATAACTGAAATATCATCTGTCTTGTTCTGAGACAAGACAGACAATTTAACATTTTCAGCTTAGCTATATATTACCCTGTCTGTTTTATTGAATTAAATCATTTTGCAGTACATGGATGGGCCCTCAGTCAGTACAGCCGTCACTGTCTCTTTTTTCATATCTCAGATGTTAAACAAAGAGAAAATGATGCTGAGAGAGGAGAGCAACCACACCCATCAGCTAACTGACCGCGCTAACAGCTAACTGCTGTGACAAACGGACACGGATTTAAAACGTCAACCGTAGAGCTTTTTATAAACGTATAAGAATAAAAAAATAACTTTACATCATCCCCAGAGGTGTACTCCTCCATCCCTGTCAGCATACAAAACGCCGCCTGTCTCTTCTCTTTGTGATGATCCCTGGTGATGGATGTTTTTCCTGTTGAAGCGCTTCCTTCTTCTTTTTCTTCTTCTTCTATCTGTGAGAGGTTTGCACCGAGTGTTGACGCCGCCTACTGGTCTGAATTATGACTGCATCGTGGGCTGTAAAGGTTTCAGGGATTTGTAAACTCCGTTGAGTCTTTTTTCTTTCAGTGGAATGAAAATCCTGGCAGGGGAAATAGTTTGTAATATATCAGTTCGTTTAACTGTTCACACTTTTGAGTGTGAACAAACGACCACCTTCTTTAGGAAAGCTTCAAAATCTATTTCACATGCAGTCATTTTTGAATTACTCCTATACCTGAAGATCCTTTAGAGACACACATTTTAACAGCTAGTATTGGAAATGAAGCACCTGCATCTGTTTCAGTGTCTTTAATTTAAATTTTATTTTATTATTATTATTATTATTTAAATAAACCTTCCATTTAATGTGCCTCAGTTTGTCAGTTTGTTCTGAAATATTTCTTCTCGGACAACCATTTAGCTAGAAATAGAATAGAATAGAATAGAATAGAATAGAATAGAATAGAATAGAATAGAATAGAATAGAATAGAATTATCATATAGTGTTACATATTGCTGCAAAGGTATTGACTGAATGGATTCAATAGACTTTCTTTTACAACTTTCTACCAGTTGGCAAAATAAACTTAATATGAGTGTCTTTTATAACCAGGACAAAATTTAACTTATGTATGATTTGACACATTTCTAGATGTAAAGTTGACCTGTTTGTCTCATGAAAGTGCCTTGCAATGACATTGGTGGTAAATTAGAGTCCAACAAATAAACTGAATTGAAAAGCATGAAAACACTTTGCATGGATTTTTCAATTTGCCATTATTATAAGAAAAAAAACAACTATTTCCAAAACATATGCAAAAACAAATATATATAACCACAAACCAATAGGCCCACCATTTAGTTACAACAAGATGGTACTTAAATGGTTTTTTATCTTTGATTTCTTTAATATGTTCAAATGTTCAATTTTTTTTTTCCTAGCCAATTTTTCATCAGCTGTCCCCCGACCTGTGAGCGTAATTCAATAAGAGCAGCTTGGAGAGAAGTGCATTAGATCACGGAGCTCTCAAACGAGGTTATTCCTTATGTACCACAGCAGCAAACGAGATCAATATCTGCTGATCTCATCTGCGTCTCACAGCGCTGTTGATCTAAACTGACCAGTGTTTCACGGTCCCCGCGGTCACTGTGCGGCTGGCAGCTCCTCCGAAACGGAACCAGACTCCCGGCGGACGGCAGCAGGGAAATCCACGGTACATAATGTGGGCTGTGAGAGCGAGGAGATTCCCACAGCTCTGCAGCGATGTGCCGCTCCGAGCGAAATCATCCACGGATTCATTCATAAAGTCACGGGAATAAAACTGTAGCATTGGAAGAAGAAGAGAAAGAAGGAGGGGGGTGGAGAAGTGGGGGGGAAGACACATCTGTGGGGTTGCGTGCGTGCCCCCCACACGCACGCACACACACTGACACGCACACCACGCCCCCTCTTGTCGGGAACACCCTGGCGGTGGATCTCTGCCTTCAGACGGCGCTGAGACGCACCGACAGGCGGACGCACTCGGCGCGATTCCCGGGACTGATTTCCTCAGCCTGCCCCGCTGCTCTGCTGGAGAATCCCCCCCACCGCCAGGTAAGGCTCTCCTCTGCGGGTCAGTCCAGTGCAATTCTTCTTATTGTTATTGTCAGGCCTCATGTGGCTCAGCCGCTGTCGCCGGTTTGCAGTTCCTGTCTGATTCTTTCTTTCTTTTCGTTTTTTTTTTTTTTGGGTGATTTCTTGTTTTGGGTAGAGGAGGAAAGGATGGGAGGGGTGCTTTCGGTCCATCATCACGACCTCGGTGGACCGGGAACACATGACCGGGAGCAGACAGCCCACTTCCCCTGCAAAGTTAGGCGCGTTTAGGCAGGTGCAATGCAGCAGGAAAGCTCCTTTTCCTGCTTTCAGCCGCCTCCACTGGCTCGACAACAGATGAACCAATGCATTAGTAAAATACTGATCTGTAGCACTTTAACTTCTTCCTTGCAGGGAGGTGGAGGTAATTAGATCAAATGATAAAAGTGGGTTTAAATGCCAGGACAAGAAGAAGTGAGCACTTTAGCAGGTGTATGTCTGCTTGTTTGATGCTGACCCTGGACATGGGTTCTCCAGGATGTCCCGGCTCTCCTCAGGGGTGAATGGTGTTTCTGGAAAAGGTCACATGTACATGCTGCTGCTGTTGCTGTTGCTGCTGTTGCTGCTGCTGCTGCTGCTGTTGTTGCTGCTGCAGGGTTAGATGTCACAATGCACTGAGGAAGACACAGGCTGACCACAGGCTCCACTTCACAGGTTTTTGGTTCATCATCAGATATGATGATCTGAACCAAATCAACCAGATCATGGGGTAGAGATGCAGATGTTTGCAGTGTCAGACTAATTGTTCATAATTGAAGCCCCCGCATAAGACCAGAAAGATCAGGATTTCAGGTTAGGTTAAGCTGAATATTTGGTTCATATATTTTGCTCTTATCCAGTCTTAAAAAGACGAGGCAATTTGTTACCTGCAGAGCCAGAATGAATACAGATTAACTGAGAAAGGATGCAGAACTGTTGAGGGTTTTTTATTATTTCTTTTTTACTTTCACCTCTGATCTCATCACTAAAATTAAGATATTTTTTCTCCACTTGTTGTTCAAGGAGTTGTGAATTTATGTCTATACACAACCTTTTGGCTGCAAGCATTGATCTGTATCCAGTCCAGCTGCCATGGTGAAGTAAAAATATCACTAATATATATTCAGCTTTTCCAAGTAGCTATTTCACTTGTCAGATGCATTTGGCTGCTGGCCTAAGTGGGTACTTACACTGAGTGAGTAGCTACAGAAAACATGTTATTGCAGTAAGCAAAGTGTGTGTGCTCATAGCTCACGCTCAGTCAGACTGGATGGAGAGCTTGTGTGAACAGTTTTCAGGTGCTGCTACTGGACTTTGACTGGGCCATTCTAACAGTTGAATATGCTTTAATCTAAACCCTCCCATCGTAGCTAAACCTCTCTCGTTATCTTGGGTGTTTTGCAGCCTTTAACAGACCATTCATGTCTGCAGCTTCCTTGTTCACACTAGAGGAAAATAAACCCACAGCATGATGCTGCTTTGGCTAGCTATGTTTCATTATGACCTAACTTTGTTCTGTTGCCTTTCTAGATGCCTATTTGGGTGAAAATTGGTTGCACTTGATTTTATTAGGGGCTTCATTATACACACCATTCTTTTTACTATTTTTACTGATGAATAAATATTTAAAAACTGTATTTCACTTCATTGTTTTGCACTACTTTCCTTAGCTTCATCACAATAAAGAAAAGTTCTTTAGAAATACTCAAAACCTTTCACGTGCAATGCAAGAAAGAATGAAGAAGTTTAAGGATATCAATACTTTTTTTATGCCACTGGACTTAAAGTGCTGTCATAACATTGTGTGGCATTACTGTGATAACAATAAAAGTGACAATAAGAACTATTTATTACTCCTTTTCACATAAAGAAGCATGATAAGTGTCACTAAACTGCTCACAGTAACAGCATTTAATCATATTTTCAAATGTAATGATAACGTCATTAAACAAACAGTGGTAAAAATACCAACGCTAACGATTCCCAGAGAGTCTTGGTGGTTTTAAACATCATCATGACAACACTACATCAAAATATGATGTAACAAATGATAAACGGTCTGATAAATATCCACTCTTATTGTCTAAAGGCCTTGTTGTTAGAGGCATGTGTTTCTGATTCAAATGATCTCTGCTAAAATTTATGCTGCAGTGAATTTCACAAGCAAGAAGCCAGGGTTCGGTTTAAGATATCCTATTATACTGTAATTTGTCACAGTGGCACTCCTCCAAATTGGTTCATTTGGCTTCCATAAGCAAAAAAGATGCCGTATCTGCTGAGGCTGTTTTTATCATTGTCAAAGGAATACCTCCCTAATGATAACTGAGCCTTTGCACAGCACTCAGGCTGGAGGCAGTGGGAGAGGGGTGGGGGGAGGAACAAATGGATGAGCAAAGCAGCAGAGAAAGCCAGCGAATGCTGGGATTCCCTAATTTCTTTCCATGCAGGCAGTAGAGCGAAAAGAAACCCCTGGGGAGAGCAGTCACACAACATTAGAGGACTGCATCTCCACGATGAGGCAACAGAGAATGGAGCCCTTCAGCACCACAATGTGTGCACGTGCGCTGACAGATATAGACGCAGTATTATAGCCGAGGTTTCAGGCTGCAGCTCACCCTGTCAGACTGATGCTGTGTCACAGGTATTCCAGGCCATGGAGCTGTTCATCACGTCATAAGTCACTTATACTTTCTGTTATTTGAGCAGCCATAACGAAACCCCTTTTGTTTACATGCAAACAATATATTAAGGTGTGTATATGAAGGAAATCTGAGACGCACCGCCCTGCACATGCATGACACAACACAAAATTAAGATTCACTTCTATTTATTTCTCAGTAGCAACAATTTTGCCAGAAAATTAAAAGAAAAAAATTCCCCCAGTAGCTGAAGCATTTCTTTTAAATGTATATAATTTTCTAATAATAGCATTGTGAAACTTCTATACATGAGGCGCTCGATTGGCGTCACGCAAAAGATTAAGCTTAGTTTTTCTCTGCACATTACTCACCAATTACTATTTTAAATTTGTTTTTGTTTATCTTATTGGACAAGAGAACCTTTGTATTCATAAACGCAACATATTGTCCAAACACTCGGACAATATGATTGAGAGTAGAAATGTGACCACGGATTGTCTTCAAGAAAATGTGGCATCCCATTGTAAAAAATAAAAACAAATTCTGCAACTTTCATATTTAATTTCCTCTGTCCAGCATAAGGAAACTTTTCCTCACATTGGAGAAGAGGTGGATTAAACTCTGGACAGGTCACCAGTCCATCACAGTGACTCATCATCTCAGCAGAATGTTGATTTAATATCAAAAGGTAAATTGCCGTAAGATACTTATTTGAAACAACAAGATGAAGTTATTTTTGTTTCTAAGCAGGTAGTTGATAAAAGACATAAAATGTCCTCAAATTGCATCTTTTAACTGAAATATTTTCTTAATTTTTCCATCAAGCGTTGCATGTAGTTGGTATTTAGGGTGCAAACAAAATATTCAGCAGAAATGATTAGCATGTACATTAGTTTCTTGTTTTGAATGAGTATAAACTGTTTGTTCTTGAAATGAGTTGCATTAGCTGGCAGTCCAGTTTAATCTCGATCAGCATCTAAAGTTGAATTGGATCATGATTTTGCTTCACTTCGTGTTCCACTGTTTTGTGGTGCCGAACTGGTGAATACTTTCTGTTTTAAGTGTACGTCTGAGATACATGTGCAGCAGCCTTGAACACATGAGAATGATCTGCTAAGAGACAGATTAGATCCAGATTAAATCTGCTGATAGCCTGAGCTTCTGTGTCCGAGCTAATCAGAGCTGTTGTGCTGAATGAGATGTGCTCCCTGGAGGGCGGTGTTTTGTGGGGTTTCCCTCCCATCCTCTCTCTCACTCTGAAGCCGTTCCCGTCCATCGCTTCACAAAGTGTGCTGCATGCTGATTTTACATGCAGCCTAAAGCTCCGTTTGGACTCAGAAATACATCACGCCTCCTTTCAGCCTGGGCCGCAGCGAGGCAATCAGTGGGAAACCTATCGACACGACATCCATACTCATGCTGCTGCTAAAGGAAGAAAAAAAAACTAAAAGCAGAAATGCAATTTGGAGGAAGAAATGGTTCAGTTGAGTAATAGATTGCAGTGAAGTTAGAGGGCGCTGCTTTCATTTTGCCCTCCTTAAACCTGGAAAATGAGGACACTTACCTCTGTAGGTGCTTTGAGCAGCAGATATTAAACAGCAGATAGTAAAATCCTATGCATAACTACGTGCAGATTTATATCGTATGAAAAATAATTCTAAATGTAACTTCTGGCACTTTATTGGATGCCTACCATGATGTGCTGAGTGGAAAAGTCAACACAGCTCTGACTCACTTCAAACAGACATTAATGAGGTTTCTGTGAATTTGAGATGCAATAATGTCACGTTTAGTGAAGAAATATTTTTGGAAAGACGAAAAGGTGCAGTAATGACACGGTAGAAGAAGCTGAGTTTGGAGCCACAGGGCAGGAGGAGAAAACCAAAACAGAGATTTATGGATGACGTGAAAGAAGACGTGAAGTTAGTTGGTGTAAGGGAGCAGAGGATGAGGCTAAATGGAGACAGATGATTTGCTGCAGGAGAGAATCTGACAGAGAAGAAGAAAGAAGATCAACCAAGCTAAAAGAAATTGACTGATTGTGAAAATACTGGACTACTAAGAGGCCAGCACTGCATTCTGATCCATCTTCTCTTTCTTTTCATTGAGAGATTCATCATCAGGTCTTTTCTCATCGGCCGACAAACATATCATCAACTTGAATTTCAACTTTTAAAACCTTCTTTCAATTTTGCAGCACCCAACTCTGCTAAACCTATAAGTGCAATTTGGAGTTGTGTGTGCTTCTCTGTGTTACTGACCCTTTTTGTCAAACAACAAACCAATTTCTATGTGGAAGGCCTAAAGCATAAAGCAGAAAGGGCATTTATTGTTTGCAAAATA